TGTGCTTGACGTGGCTGTGATGTCAGTTCGATTATTTCCCTTTTTCCACAACCACCACTAAACCATTTATTGTGAGAGCACCAGAAGCGCTTTCACACTGCACCCTGGTGTCAAGGCCTGCTGCTAGCACAGCCCTCATAAGCAAACTCTCTAGTCCTGTGTTTGAGGATGTTTTCCTTTGGCTGAGCTGGTCCACTTGCACCCAAGGGTCTTAATGCAGCTTAAAAGAAGCTCTCCTTGCTGATGACATAGTGAGGAGACAACTGCTCACAGACTACAGTCTGTCCTGTGGTCACTGTGGTAAGCTTTGCAGTAGACACCACAGCAGTGCCTACATGGGCTTTTTCAGTCCATAGCATAAGGAGCACTACATATAGATGGTGCATCTGAGCAGCAAGTCTGTTAAAATCTGCTGTTATTAAATATACAAATTTTTGATTTTTTAAAAAAAGAGGGAATTTCCTCCCCTCCTCCTAAATAAAAAATGATTTTTTGTTGTTGCTTTTGGGGTTTTTTTGTTTGTTTACAACATACCATATTTCTCACTCTTCCTGGATGAGATGTTTTACACCACTGCTGTTTAGTTTTCAATCAGCAAAAGTTGTTTTTGGAAATAGCTTCCACAGAGAAGCTAGCAGAAGGACAACTGTTCTTGCTTGGCAAGTCCCTGTACTGACTTCAAACTGAAATACATCTCCAACACACTGTAAATGGTCTCTGGCTCTCTTCAGATATGACAGGCACTAACAAGGGGCAACATATCAATGCATAAATGCCATCATTACCTTACACCATTTGTGATGGAGAAGCTCACACATTCAAAGGACAATGTTTCCTTTGGAATATTACCTGTAAAAATTGGCCACAGAATAATGATGCTTTACAATATATAGTTTGATATGTACCTAAGGATATTCTCTTAACAAAAAAACATTTATGCAACGTACATTAATTAATGCATTTCTTCTTCAAAACCAAAATCATACAATCATGGAGATCATGCTCCAGAAACAAGGGGGCAGGATTCCCATCTGAAATCCAGTAAAGTCAGTTGAAATCTTTTGGCAATCTCCAGTAGGCCCTAACAAGCTTTGCAGTTTTAAGAAACCAGAGAAGCTGCAGAGCAAGGCAACGCAGGAGTCTATGTGAACTTTCTCATAAACCGGAGTTTTGCATAGGCAATGACAAGGAAGATAACAGTCATGCAGAAAAGAGCCACTATGTTTTCCCACATTGCCCAGTTGGTAGGTGCGATTCCTTGGCTGCACAGGTATGCTTCACCAGAACACCTGCAGAAAAGCATGGGGCAGAAGTTGGTATTACTATCTGTTGCAAGTTTTCAGGTAGTTACTTTTATTCAAGTTCCACAAAAATTCCTCTACCCTCAACTCTGCAGAACAGGTGACAGAAATAGAGTAACTTCATAACCTATCATTAAAAAAAAAAGTAAGAGACAAATCTAGATCTCTGGCTCTCATAATTTTTCAGTAGTATCCTAATTGTTCTTTATAGACACCTGTCAAGTTATGACTAAATCTCAAACCACATTAAACTGTGGTAAATACAAAAGCATTAAATGGAGCAATCCTTGGAGGTCCATAGCAGGGGTTTGGGGTTCAAAAGCTGTGGAAACAGTGCTCTAGCACTCTTCTCTGCAATAACCTCAGCTTGCCAGCCCTCTAGCATGTGTCATGAAATACTTGAATTACCACAACAGTTGGACTTGATGATCTTAGAGGTCTTTTCCAACCTTAAAGATTCTATGATTCTGCAACTTAAGGTATCAATAGTCCAGAGTATTTCAAATGGGGAAGTAGCACTGGGAGATACCTTGGTTCTCTGCTGTGTCTGCAAGGAGGTTAGTGTTTACAAGCAAGCTCTGAGGGACAGGCATGTTTCTGATCACAAATCTGCTGTTCCCACCAACTTTGTAGTTATTCACACATTGCATTTCCACTGCAAAGTGACCCTGGGTTTAAGAAAACTGATAAGCCAGAGCTACTTTGTCAAAAAGTTTAATTTAGCTCATCTGCCCATTTTTAGGAGTAAATTTTCATCCCTACTTCATTCTCGGGTAAGTGTGAAGTTTTACTATATAATCCTAAAATACATTATTTTGGGACATATTTAGAGTAGCCTGTGAGTGGTTATACTGTGAATAATATAAAAATTGGAAACAGACATCTCTTTAAGCAAGCCATCACAATTCAGGCCCAAGAATCACCATGAGTTAGAGACTTACATTTCTCCTGAAATATAGGGCGGACAACTGCCTGCATCTCCCACAGAGGCTGTAACATTTGGATTCTGCTCACCACAGAAGTATAGATCTCTGAACTCATTCACCTGAAGAGCCTAGGGAAAGAAACAGACATCAGCTTTTTACAGTTAGTGATTTGGGGTGCTAAAGCAAACACCTCAAAGGAACTTGATTACAAGACACACTTTTGGAATCAAATGTTTATGTTCCTTTTTATTTTTAAGCTCTTAATCACTGCCTTTCTGAGGAACTGCTCCAAATTGTACATGCTGAACTGTTTGGTGTCTGAGTCTTTGGCTTCAAAGTTACATTTCAGTGATTTAGCCATGTGTTTCTGTCTTGCCAGCTACAGGTTCCTGTTCATCCACTCATCTGGGTTAGTCTGACCCAGAAACCCATGTGGCTGCATGCAGGAACCCCAACACCAACACACTGAAGCAGATGTCACAGCCAAGGCAAGAGGGAACGGTTCCCTTGCACTGGCATCCTGGGTTAGCTGCAATCTCAGGAGACACTTGCACATTCAGCAACACCGAAAATGTCTCAGTGATACCCAAACAGGAGGTCTCACACATCTCCCCCTTCCCTGATCCTACCTTTCTCTTCCACTGCTGGTCAACATGGTCCTGCCTACATCACCCTGCACCAGCTCCAGTGTTCATTCCTCTCATTTTTACTCAAAGGTAGGAAACTATTCCTCCCAAATAGACTTGCCAGGATGAACACATGAGATGGAAGCACAACTCCCACCTGTGACCTGAGAGTGACCTGCTATGTCTGGTTTCTGTGTTTCAAGCAGCTGCACACTTAGTTTTCTGATACCCCAGCTCCTTATTTTCACTTCAGAGGAAGCCACACTGAAGACCGAGACACTCAGGCATTATGGTAAATCATTTAACCAGTTCGACAGTCATTAACCTCAGACTGGCCACCCAAACAGCAGTCTCTGGAGAGGTCATACAATATTTGGCTTTATTCTAAACCATAGGAATCAACTATTCAGGCTAGGAATTAGTGCCTCACTGGACAGCTCACTGTTGCTGTCCAAGCAGCACTAATTTGTAGCATAAAGAGTTTGTTCAGTCTCTGGGACTTCTGCCTCTCACACAGAGATTAACTTTTGCTTCCTTTTTGGGGTTGGATGGTTTGTTCTTCTTTTACCATGTTCATGCAAGGAAAGAAAACAAATCTGCCTTTTAAGAGAACTTAATTTATACTCAAAACCTCTCCAGGAAGCAGCAGTGGGGCTACATTACTCACAGGAGACCAATGCTATTTCTACTCACGGTGAGGCCGTATCGAGGGATGCTGAAGTACTTGAGCCAGTTCAGCCAGCCCATTATAGAAGGAAGGTTTACCAAGAGACCTGAAAAGATCTGAAATAGAACAGAAGAGACTAATGAGATACAAACTCTGTTTAGTGCAAACAATGCCGTTCCTGCACAGATACTGCAGTTGCCCAGCAGAGGTACATTGGGATAGATGGACCTCCTGCTGCTGTTATGCTTGTGTTTACAGGTGTGAGGTTCATACCTCACAGCAGTCCTAGCCAGCTGGCCCAGCAGCACACCCAAGCACCCCAGCTGAACTGCTTGCAAAGAGGTCAGAATGGTTTTCTACATCCACATGTGAGCTAAGAAGCATGCGTGCTAACATATTCTTACTCTGGAGAACTGCGTCCTATGCTAGAGCTAGCCAGAGGCTGAAGAAGGACAACAGGGAGATGAGGAAGTAGAGAAAAATGGAAACGGTGGGGAGCCTTAAGGGCTATTGCTGTTTCAGCTTTCTCCTCTAACCTACATCTTTTATATGTGCTCCTGCGTGCTTGGAACAAGTTTTGCTCTTGTACTTCTTAGCACAATTGGACTTCATAGCTAAACGTGATGCTTCAGGCTGTGCTTCATGGCAAGTGGTTTTTTTGCTTACCCTGCTGTCTTCCAGGATCTGCACATACCATTTTTATATACTGTGATTTAACTGAGTGTACATCGGCTGCCCTTCACTATACATTCACACTTCTCTCCCACAGCAACCATTTGAGACAGTACATGATCACTGAGTTTATTGCAAAAGCAGGTTAAGTTGCAAATCAAAGAATAAGGGATCCACTGTGAGCACAGAATATGTACACAGACAGCTACCAGGAATCACCTGACAGGAGGTAACTTTTTAACTCTACGGTACCTTGATAGGCCTCACAGTCAAGAAGTTTCATCACTAACAAAATTATCTCTTTGGAACGGAAGTCACATCCCTAATCTATGGGTAGTCATTCCTTTCTCTCTTACTTGCTCTCTTCCTTAGAAGTCCTCAAACAAGAGTAATTCTGGAAGTAATTTCTGGAACCCAAGGGCAATATTGAATTAAAATAAAGAGAGGGTATGCTCCTGCTAATCCCAATGGGCAACAAAAGTTAATGCAATCCAATCAATCAATCTAAAGTTGATTTCAAGATTTTTGCCTTTTAAATGATCTAGTTGATCACTTGGATTTCTACTACTACAAGATTTTTTTAAAATCCATTTTTATAAGGACAATTAAAGAGCACCTTTTGGGGGCACACTGTTTGCAAAGCTCTGGTGGCATCACACCTACAGAATTGCATCTGAGCAATGATTTGACCCTTAGATGACAAGTTGGCAGAGGTGCATCTTTGACTACACTGACAAAATCACAGGCATGGGGCTGACATGCTACTGGACTGTGGATTCTCAGTCTGCTTAGGAGTGGCTCAACCCAGTCCTCTGAGCTTGTCTCATCTGTTTCCCCACCTCCACCAAAGGAGCAAACATATTCTTTTATACTTACAAGCATCAGGACAAAGCAAATAGTGATGAGCAGATTGGCCACAGCCACAACATCCATCCCAGCACTGATAGCCAGAGACATGGCTGTAGCAGTGTAGGACACCAGTACCAGGGTCAGCATGAAGAAAAAGAACTGGCCTGCAACAGCTTGGTATCCTGTCAAAAAAAACAGAAAGAAAAGGCCAGTAAGTAACCACGTTATGAATCCCAGAGAGGTACCCTTGGACTCCTATACAAGACAGGGAAAGCAGGAAAGAGGACTAAATTTGGACTTGGCAGCAACTCTGCACACTCCAAAGGCCCAAAGAGCATTACCGAAAGATGTGGTCAAGCAGGTCCCTGCCTTAAATTGCTGATGTCTCTCTGCCCCTGCCCCAGAGTCCTCCAAAGTTATGATGCCAAGCATTTAAGTCAGTTGAAGGTTCAACTGGTTTCATGTTATAGATGTAGAAATTAAACTCTGGCTAAGTCAGAAATGTGTTAGAAGATGGCAGGTTCAATGAAAGCATCAATTCTTTACCAATCATCCAGTAACTGATACATGAGAATATGATGGCTGGAGCTGTTCTCATGGGCAGCAGATCTCCTATCATCAAGGCCAGGAAGTAGGCAGACACACGGTAATATCCACTGGTGTACTGATGGCTGCGAGGACAGGAAGGAGGGGAGTTGCACAGGTTTAGAGGTTACCTGGGAAGCAGGCTCAGCATGTGTCTGGTTTATCCCGATTCAATTTCTGTTCTCTCTACCACTGACTCCTCTATATGCAAGTTGCTTATTTTCTCTGTGCTGCCACTTCCCACTCTGTAATCTAAGGGCTGGGCTATCTCAGTCATACTGAGAGCCCTTCAGGGACAGTGAATAAAAGGCTATGTGACTGCTAAGTAACTTATTGGAAAAAAGCTCCTAAATCTCTTTTCAAAGAGAATGATCCTTAAGACAAGAGCATAGGAAAGTATTAGACTGCTATTAACTTGGAGGAACACTTCATCCACAGCTGCTTCCAGGGGAGAAGGAATGATACCCAACAATGGGAAAACACCTTTAGGCTATCAACTCACCTCCAGTTCACAGGGAAATTAAATGTCATTAAGATTGTTTTGCTGCTTAATGGAGCTCATGAAAAGAAGCGTTAAGTGGTGAGGTGCCAAAATCCCCACCAACACAGCTGGTAAGCTAAACAAGCAAGCAGGGCAGACTGGCAAAAAAACATCAGTGTGGGGGAGATTCACTCCTGAGCAGCCGTTAGGGGCAATATTAAGCTGCTCTGAGCAAGCTGTGGGTGGACATGTGCACATCTAGTGCCTCACAGAAACACAACACCCTTTTTCCAGGCACAAATCTCCAATTTTTTCTTTACTGCATAGGATCTGTCTCTTGCACTTTCATCCCATGAGCTGGAGGCTATTTCAAACTACATTTTCAGCATATATGTACATATACATGTGTGTATATAAAATATATACACACAAACACATATATAGAGAGACAGAGATATGTATTTGATTATTAGAGAGCTCTTGTAAGACAGCCAGCAGCCCTCTTCGTCTGAGCATCTCTAGAGAAACTTTTTCAAGAATTCTCCCTTCATCTTTGCAGAATTTTACCACTTTGGGCCATTGTGAGACAGCGTTTCAACCCTACCAGCAAGGGGGCAGGCAGGTTCACAGTCTGCAGGATTCACATGCAGACTTCAAAACCAGCTGTTACTAAAAGCAAGTAGGAAGAGCACTTCTCAATAAACTGACACAGCAAGCAATTAAAAGCATTTTATTTCTCCTCTCCTTCCCCCACCTCTTAGCATTTCAGCTCCCTGCTCTACAGACCAATTTAACATTACTATTACAATCTGATGTTGCAAGGGAGCAATCAAGTCTTTGGTGGAAATCATTTTGTTTAGCCTGTAAGCTACTTTCCCCACCTCATTCCAGGGTATGAGACAGCCTAAGTGCCCCAGTACTTACACAAATAGTTTCTTGTCTCTGATGAACAGCTCAATTGCAGAGACACTGGAAAAACACTGGTTTGTGGTGACAAAAAACAAGGATCCAACCCTACAAGGCAAAACAGAACATTCAGAAGGGAGGAAACGGCCTAGATCAACACTGGCAGCATCAGACATCATCATACCATCAAGTCAGTGCTTTTCTGTCTCTATCCACAGAATGGAGATACTTAATTGCACTACTGTAGATCTTAGCTGTAAAACCAGGCTTATTCCTTTATCTTCCCTTTCACATCTCCTTTGTACATATGTGTGAGCCTGACAGAACTGCGGTCCTTTTAGGACCTCAGGCAATACCATACTGCCGTGCATTGAGGCTTCTGAACCCAAACCTCTTTTGTGGTCCAAGTGGAGCCCAGGGTCTTCCCTGTGGCTGAAACCTGTCTGCTACAGATAGAAAAATGAGTAAAGCTGTGGCTTTCCAACTTACCGATTCTGAATGCCGCTTCGATCCAATTTTACACCAAAAAAGATAGCACCCACAACCAAGGCTAGAATTACAGTCACTGCAATCTAGAAGTGGAAAGAAGAAAGGGAGAAGGCAGTCCTTCAGATGGGTAAATAGGGACAAACCTATTATTAAGGCATATGCAGGGTTTAAGATTCACACCTGCCTAAACCTTTGCTGTGTGAGTCAATGTATACCTATGACACAGACAATTAAAAGCCTTATGACAAATTTTATGAGTTTATACTCTTCACTTTTCTCCTTCCCCTGATCATCTTTGGCTGTGAAGTTAGTAGCAACACACTCGAAATTTTAAGCTGGGGTATTCTTTAAGCAAGGCACAAAGTTAACATCACCCTAGAAACTCCCCATATGAACCAGAGAACAGAGTATTTCCCCCCACATCCCAATCTTCAGCGCAGTAGCCCTGTGCTAAATAAAAATGGAGATTTTTTCAAAGGCAAAGGTAGCTGGGCATCTCACTCCACATAAGTAGCAGTGGCACAGGACTTTCCTGTTTCCCTAGCTGCCTTTGAAAAGTCTGTCTTACAAACAGCAGATTGCAGGACTAAGAACAGAGGCCATCTGAGACTTTTAGCAATTGTTACCTACCTGTGCAACAGAGGCCTGTGGGTTCCTGATGAGGTTTTTCAGGGAACGCTTGGACACCCAGTACAGCTGGGTGAGGAAACCATTTGCATAGGTAATCTCATGTCCCTGCTTGGATACTCTCTGCTTGGTTCCCCGTCCAAGTTCCACTTTCCCCAATGCTTCCTTTGTGCTCTGATACAGGCTGGAGTTGAGATATTTCTGGTGCAGCACATCTACCACACTGCTGTCCACATTATCTTCTGCCACTCCATTTTCACTGCTCACACTGCTCACCTCTGAGTGAGAAAGACAAGATATGGCTTGATTCCCCACAAACCCTACCTTCAGACATTACTCATCAACACACTCAGTCTTTCCCACATAGGTTTTGTGGATTATTGATATTTATCACTGCTCTCCTATATTACTGAAGGAAGAAAAAAAATCCCTTTTAAAAGTTTTCTGAGCTCTTTAAAGAAGCCTAAAGCAAAGTATATATATTAGTAGGAAAAATAAAAAGATAATGAATTGCCCTTAGATTGGAGGGAACTCGGAATAAAAGCTTGCCATGACCACATACAACTTCCCTTCTACATCAGCCAACAGTGGATTTCTCCTTCACTATTTACCTTTTCCTGTGTCCACAGGTCTGTGATCTTCCTTGCTTGCTGCCACAGCAGTTGAATCCCCATTTATGATATCAAGGAAGAAGTCAGCTGGATTGTTGAAAGGTTCACATTCATATCCTTAAAAAAACAAAACACAAACACAACATGTTTGTACTGCACAGAGCACAACTTGGAAAGTCAAGGCTAATTCTATATCACTCTTCCACAACCCTGTTACAAGAAAACCTCACTGCTTTCCATGAGCATTTATGGCAGTAGAATGGGCAGGATTTAGGAGATGGTGAATCTGAGGTATCTAAACAGAGCTTCAAAGCTGCTCACTTCCCACTGATTTCAGGTGAGAAATCTGTAACTTGGTTCTACACAGCTCAGCATGGACAACTCTTGCCTCCTTCTGTGCTGTTCAACCACATCCCACCGTGAATGATGCACAGTTCCTCAACAGAGGTTGCTGGATGTCTGCTCTACAGTCTCAGATGCTTGTACTGCTCTAGAAGCTCAACTCTTGCTTGCATTTCCTTGGTCACAAGGAAGAGGAAGGGCTGTCCAAGAGTAGCTTCTTGTAATATGGCTCTAGCCATGGGAGGGAAAGAAAAAAAATCAAGGATGCTTATACTATAGCATTCATGTGAGAAAGGAAGGAGTTGGGATATTAAGAGGAGTAGAAGAAGCAGTGAGATGGGTCAAAGTAGCTCCCTTAAAGCCAGGGAAAGCTTACATCTAATGTGTCCCTGGCTGTACCTAGACTAGATTGGAATCACATTCTCTGCCCATTATAGTTAAAAACCCTCACCCTGCTTACTTGTAGAGGGGGCAGCCACCCAACAGTGCAATTATTAACCCATCTTAACACACACCATGATTTTGTCCCTTGAGTTGCTGACCTGCATTCAGATTCTTGGATGAGCCCCTACAGACTGATCAATCTGCAGGCTGTGGTTCAAAACCCACTGGACCTGCCACTTAGGCCTGGCAGAACTGCAAGCATCATCTTGTCTATTGTGCACCACACTTCCAAATGTCCAAGCAATTTGGGGGTTTTGTCCTGATGCAAGGCAAAACAAAGGCAGGAGAGTGCCATACTCTGTACTGTCTGGTAAACTTTGTTTATATCATTTTGGTTTTCTGTTTTAACATAACACTGTTGAGACTGTATGTGTATAGTCTCTTGTATCCTAGTGCTAAAACAGCACAGGACTGTTATCCAGCACTAGGGTAAGGATCTACCCACATATTAAACTCATCAGCTGTTTGCCTTTGCTCTTGCACAAAGACTTACCAATAGAACTAAAGTACTCCAGGGCCTGCTTTGCAGGACCATGGTACAGCACCTTTCCCAAAGCTAGTAACGTCAGACTGTCAAATAGCTTGAATATGGAATAGCGGGGCTGATGGATAGAAAATATGATGGTTCGCCCTCTTTTTGAAAGCCTGAAATAGAAACAAAAAACATCTGTCAAATACACACTTTGCATTTTAGAAAGGTTATGCTAACCCAAGCAAAAAGTATCCAAATCCAAAACAAATACTTGTCAACTTCTCAGTCTTGACCCAGAAAAGCTGTAGCTCCCCCTTCTCTCTCACTGTGTCAAATGCTGCCTGCAAAACCTTCAAGACAGCACCCATCATTACAGAAGATTGTCATTGCAGTCCATGTAGACAAAGTATGTAGCTAGCAAAGGCTGAGGCCACAGCTGTGTATAAATCCTCCTTACATGTTTTCTATACCAGGCTTCAATTTGACTAACTGGAATGGTCCTACTGCACTTAATGGCAGTACCAGACTTTACATAACAGGCTGTGGAATTCTGGCCAGCTGAGATTTCTCTGAGCTCTTCCGCTGAAGATTTACTCTCTATAAAAATCAAAACTAGTTTTCCTTCAGGTTTGTCAGATGCTCTTTCAAGTGTTTTAGCACTGATGCCCAAGTATCCTTGCCAGTCAAAGACCTCTAGCCACAAACAGCAGAGCTAAGTGTCCTCCAGACAATATACTACAAACCCAGCAGGAGGGTTAGGAACTCATTCTCGTTAAATAAGCCTTGTTTGGTCCTCTTTGTACCAGAAGACAGCTCATCTCCACAACACAGGGGGCACTGAGGGTAAATCTGCAGGTGACATCCAATCTGAGTTCAAGGCCATTGTCAGAGTGGAGGAAGAGACTTTGTAATAGACTCAGCTGGAAGGCCAAGCAATTATTATTACAAGGCCTGACCTCCCAGTCCACCCCTCTCTGTGGCAATGGGAAGCTGTCCAAGCTACATCTGCTTTTTGGGCTCAAATCCAATGCTTGCTGTGGAAAGATTTCCATCAACTTCAAAAGAGTTTGCACAAGACCCAAATAAAGAATTTACTACCACTTCTGAGTCTACTTGTTCAGCTTTTTGTTTTGTTTTAAATAAAGCACTGTAGCTACTCGGTCATAACCAAATTCCCTCTTTTACTAATCAGCTGGCAGCAAAATTGTAGCACAGCCCTGAAGAACTGACTCTTACTTCTTTAAGAGGATGAGGACTGCATTGGCTGTGCTGGCATCAAGGCCAGTTGTTGGCTCGTCCAGAAAAAGGACTGGTGGCTCTGTGATGAGCTCCATCCCAATGTTGGTTCTCTTCCGTTCCCCTCCAGACACTCCCCGGATCAGTTCAGTTCCTACCTACAAGCAGAAGAAATAAGGTATTTGCAACAAGATCTAGTCAGCACATGGTCTGGAGTTCAGGGCTCCCCACGCCCAGCAGCCCTTTTCATTTTCAGAGCCCCATCAGCAAACTCTAGGGCCAGCAGCAAATGAAGTGAGGGACTATGCAGCAGTAAGCACAGTCTGAATTTAGAGGTACCAGGCACCTTATTACTTCAGGGAACAAGGATGACACTGATAAGGAAGAGCCAGAATGAGGCCACAGCAGTCAGAGGTGGTGTTGGTGCTCAGGGATGCTTTTCATTGGTAGCTCACCTGCTGCTCAAGAGTAGGGTAAGTAAAGTAAAAGTACAGTAAGAGTAAAAACGCTGCTGAGAGGAACAAGCTCTGCACAGAACTTCTCCATCACAGCCCAGCTTTCCATCCCTCACAGCTTCCAGCACTGTAAAAACAATTTCCCTGTCTTGTCCCACAAAGCCAGGAAGTGACTGAGCAGCTTTCCAAGGTGCTATGACTAGGCGACTTTTTTCCCCTCTGCACTTATACAACATGCTGGACATGGTCCAAAATCTTCCCCTTTTAGTAGCAAATACACATTCCTCTTTCCAAGATACTTCCTGAGCTGGAGACTGATTTCCTGTGTGCAGCATGGTTTAGTCAGGTTCCTGCTTAGCTTAGTGTAGCTACACTACATACTCCATACTGCCCAGAGTCAAGTAGTTCAGTTTCTAGAGGCAGCTGATTTGAGAAATATATTCCCACCACTCACCTTAGCATCAGCCACTTTGCTTAATCCAAGCTCGCTGATTATTTGGGTGACTCGCTCTTCCTTCTCTTTAAAGCTGATGGAGCTGGGGAGTCGCAGAGCGGCAGAGAACTGCAGGTTCTCCCTCACTGTCATTGTGCCCATGACAACATCATCCTGAAAGCAGTACAAATGGACAGTTGGAAAGCTCCTTCTCAGCTACCTGACTGGTCATTAAAGTCCCTGTAGTGGCAGCTGCTGGAGAAGCTGTTTGTAGACCACAGTGGAAACTGGACTGGATGACAACCCCTGCTTCAAAACTTACACGACAAACTTCAAGGTCACTCAGTAGCAGTCAAGGGGAGAATGCAGCTCTCCAGGCTCCCAGCTTGAACCAAGCACCACCTCGGCCTGCTTTCAGTCTCAGGAGTTCAAGTGCTGACAGTACCATTTTGTGCTGCAAGTGCATTTTCCTTACCAGTCAAGGGGAGGCAGAGCAGGTAGCTGGTTTTGTAAAGAGCTAAACTTCTGCCAGTCCAGATGAAGCCAATGGACATTGCTAGTGCTCAGTGTTCAAGTCAGAGACACTTGGGGAGTCACGCAAGTCAGCTTTGCTCCCAGTTACAAGCCACATCTTGCAGTGGTCCAGAGAACCTGTGAAGTTCAGCTGCCAACAAGGAGCTCTCCTCAGCTCTTCACTGGCAGCAGCTCCTCCAAGAACTAAGACTATTTATTGCACCAATACGCTTCTAATTTTTTTCCATGTCTCAAGTATTTATAACTCTTGGGCATGAGACCTTATCCTAAGGGCTACCCCTTTAGAAAAGTTTTCACAGTCATGCATTTTCACTAAGAATCAAATCTACTCATTTGATAAACATCTGGGCAGCCTACACCAACCTGGGCAACCACGAGCCAGAGTTGATGACAAGTCCATCCAGAGCTACATGCCTCTCCATCACCCTTGCTTTGACATTTAAGCCAGTTCTGCATCCCACCATATGATGAGGGAAGGGCTACAACACTGGGCAGGTACTGAGAAACATGCCCATTAGTCAGGCACCTTTCAAATCTAGTTCCCTTTTGGAAGACACAGTCCCTAAACTGCAGGGCAGCAGATTCTTGCCTGCTTTGGGACCCCTTCCACATCAGATGTAGTTGGCCAGCAGCACAAAGAATGTGCCAGCCAACCATATTTGGCACTGAACTTAACAGAAGACAACTGAACATGCTGCCAAGCTAGCAGTATGACAAATTACTCAGAGTGTAGTGTTATGATAAACTGGCTTTGCTGCCAAAGCTGGTTTAGGAATTTCCTACCATGACTTCCCATACACTCCCAGTCTCCCATCCTAGCTCCCCATTACCCATCCTTAGATCCACCAGTACAACTGCCAGGTCGCCACAATGGAAACTAAACTGTGAATTTAAGCTACCTTAATACCAAACTGTGGCATGACACCCTCACTTGCAAGGCATAAGTGGAGAGACCACCAGCAGTTTTATAGGGATAACACATGACTTAGCATGTCTATATGCATAGAACTGACCCTACAAGTATGTGTATATTTACATATTTAGGCCTTAATTGCTGTTTGTAGTCTTTGGGCCATCTTTATTCATCGAGGGAGTACAGCATGGGGCAGAAGAAGAGAGAAACTATTTAATGTCTCACCTAGTTGCCTTTCATTTTAAGGTTATGTTTGGTTGCTTTGGACATTTGAGACACAAATGTCTAACACTGGGACCCCTTGCAAGAAACTTCCTGGCCATTCATGAAACACCGAGGATTTGGGGATCTTCGATCTGCAGGATCAAGACTCAGCATCAGTCTCGTCACATGCATCCTCCTAGAGCCCCCCAGCTGGCAGCTTTCAGAAAAAGCTGCCTATTTCACATGTGCCTGCAGTCAGAAGCCTGGATGGTTTCCAGGTTTGGCTGCTCATATGGCTGCCAAGAATCCCCTTCTCCTCAGCTCCCCCAGGGCTTTGAGAGTCTATTATTGGTCCAGACCTCCACCCACTTCCGCAGATTCAGCTTGCTTTTCCTGTCTCTGAGTGGAATGAAGCTCTGTCCCAGCCAGCCAGAATCAGAGGAAGAACAGCAGGGATCTATTCACTTCCTAGAATTATTATCAGACAGCTTGAAGGTACTTCTGCCAGCTTCTGAGTTTTACAACAAGAGATTTTGGGTGTTGTGGGGTTTTTTCCTCACCTTTTTTTTTTTTTTAAACCCTTGCTCGTACTTTGAGGCAGAGCCCAAAGAATGAGCCACAGTAGCCCAGTGGTTTGGGCATCCATGTGGCTTTAGGAAGACAAACACCTCTGTGCTTGACTTGGTTGGAGTAATAGTTTGACCCTCTTGTCTTCCATATCCCAGAAAAATACTAAATTCTGTAACATCTGAGTTATCAAATTAGACTCATCTTATGCAGCCTTCCCTCCCAAGCGCCCAGGCCTGCACTGAAAGCAGTCACTCACCTGCACAACATATCCTGAGATGCACTTGAAATTTGGAGGTTGTGGGATGCCATCTATAAGCACTTCTCCAGACAGGCCTGCTGGGTCCTTTCTGGCAGCCAGCACATCTAGGAGACTTCAGACAAACACCAGGCATTAGTTTTTCCCATAACAGGTGCTTTTAAGTACCACCAGTCAGGACTGCAGTTACAGCCTGTTCATAGCATGCTGCAAACCGAAGGGCACAGAAAGCAGCTTCCTCTACTCTGGGGGCTTTAGCTTTTTGTACAGAAAGCCTGGTGTAGATACAGGGTTTTCCAGCACCAGGTGTGCCACAGCAGTATGTCAGTACACAGACCCTCACAATTCACAGCAGTCAACCCCCTACAGACAAACTCACTCTCTGTATTAACGGCTAACCTCAAAGGCAGAGAGACAAAAGCATTCTGCCGAGTAGCTGCAGTCTGCTCTCCAGCCAGCGGAACACAGAATTAACCACTTTGATCCCAAGGAAATTAATCCAAATGGGTATAAACAAGACTAGAGTTAAGATTAATTCCAAAAAGTAATTTTGTTTTAACATATCACTGGATTCTCCTTACTGCCAAAGCAGAGGCCAGCCTGTCTGCTAGCTAAAGTAAACACCACCCCGATGAAGTGCTACCCTTGAATACATCCTGATTAGCCAGCAGCCTCCTTAGAAAGGAAGATCAAGGGTCACCACAAAGACATACCTGTGTGAACTCTGGTCATATTTGCCAGTCTCTGACATTCTCAAATGGAGAGCATGACAAAGACCTCTCTTACCATGCTTATACAGGAGAGAAAACAGCAGCAGCACTGGCTGGAGATAGTCTGCATGGTATTTCACGGTGCTTTCATCCAAAGAACTCAAGCACACATGTATCCCCACCACCAGGCCACAGCCAAGTTGGGGTGAGGATTCAGAGCATCCTACATATTGACATTAAACCATATTCCTGTCAGTTGTCAGAGAGGGGTTTGGCCTAGCACCTTCGAGGAAGTCATGCTGCAGTGACTTCACAGGGGATGATCTCTCTCCTACCCCAACAGAGCTTGCACCCCCTCCACACCCCATTGCAGGTCTAGGACAGAGCCTACAGCTGAGCTCCAGTCACCCCAGTTCAGCCTGGTATCTTAACTCAGGCCACCCTCAAAGGCGACTACAGTAATATGGATCACCAAATGAGCAAATGAGGGGTGTGACACCGCTGTGGGGCAAGAACTCCAGCAAAGCAAACAGAGGGACATGAGGTCCCACTGCATCACCAGATTTCTCACAGGCATGCAAAGATCTGAGCCTGCAGACCCCTTGCATCTCCCCAACCCTCAGAACCACAAATCCTCTTTGAACAGCTGACTGTCCATCTGAAGGAACAGAAGAAAGTACTCACGAAGATTTACCGCT